AAGCAGCTGGAAGGGCCTTCGACGGTTCTTGGGCATGAGAGTGACTGATACGGCAACGTGACGTCTGGGGACAATGAGGCAATGGCATTGACAATGTCGGGAACTGGGGCAGGGGCAGGAATCCAGGGAAGGGGCTCCTGAAAGAATCAAGGCCTCAGAGAAAGTAAACGTGAGCGCGCGCGCGAGACCCAGGTGTGGAACACGGAAGACTCGCAGGGCTCGGCAACGTATCGGACCCCGGCTCAGCGGGTGAGGCAGGAAACGGCAGAGGCGACCGGAGGGTCTCCGTCCTGAGCGCCTGGGAGGCGGGCAGTCCGCTGACCAGGCCCCCAGCGTCCAAGCGGAAGGCTGGCTTTGATGGGGAAGCTTATTGTGTTCAGAGGTTCGTCCGTGGGACAGTGGGGGAACCCCTGGTCCAGGGAGGGAGGCGGACACACCCTGGGACGCGGGACACGCGGGCCCTGGAGCTGTCATTCGATGAGGGCCTTCGCGGGCTGGCTGGGACCTCCTCTTTCTCTTCTCCTGGAAACCCTTCCGTTCCTCCTCCACTTAACAAATACCTGCCATGGTCCCTATTACCACGTTCGTTGAACTGCATGGTGAAAGGATCAGAAACGGTGGGGGCCAGGCACTCACCATCCCACGGTGGAGGCTTCCAGTGGGCTGTTTCCTTGGTGGGGTACATGACTGCTCCTCCAAACTGCTCTGCCCATTGCACGTCTGGCTGCCACTGCCGGGCACCCCTAGGGAGTTAAAGACACAGGGATGAACAGCGCCCAGCTCAGGTCCCCATTCGCTCGGGCCGCGTGTAGGGGGGCAGACACCCCGGCGGGGCCGCCCGTGCGGGTTAGTGGAGCTGTGGCCGAGCCAGCGGACCCCTGGCCGTCCATTCGCCCTAAAGACCTGTTTTCCTAATCGCTCCATCCACGACCCCCGTGCACGAAGACCGGGACCCCAGCTCCTTGACACGACCGTCCTGCTGAGCTTGAGTGCGAGAAAGCCGCTCATTCAAGGTCAGCGGGGGACACAGAGGGGCGCGCCGGCTCCTTGGCGCGGCTCAAGTGTGACCAGAGCGACGCACCGGGCCGGCGCGGGGTCACCGTTTGGGTTCCTCCTAGGAGACACTATCTCCACGGTGAGGGGCAGGGTCCCTCTCACCTGATTTCACCGCTGGCCGAACGAGCCCGACACCCTCTTCCCTCTCTCGGGGCGGGCGCCGCGGCACCCAGAGCCCCACACAGAGGGCAGGGCGAGGGGTCACAGGCCCGGGTCACCCTTTCCGAGGGGGCCCCCGTGGCCGTGGACTCCCTAGCCTACAGGAGAGCGCGCCGGGGGGCTGCCCTGGGTCTCACCTGCTGGGTTGCACCCGCAGCCGGCCCCCAGCCCCCGGCCGCAGCACCTGGGCCGCGGCGCCCCCGAGGCCGCGCAGGGCTCTCAGCGCCGCCATCTTGCCCACTGCGGACGGCGGGAGGAGGACCGGGCGGAAGTCCCGCCTACGCACCTCCGGGCGGGCTTCACGCCTATCTGCACAACGCGGCCGCCATCTCGGAAGCTGGCAGGATCTCCGACCCGCAGGGGACAACATCCGGTTCTGTGCTTTGACCTCGCTGTGGCTGGAATAACGGGAGCAGAGGGCGGCTATTCCCAGCCCTCCGCACCGGCCTTTCTGGGCGGAAGCCCCAGGGACCTTGCGCTCTCCCGCCTGCGCCGCCCCTGCCCTCCTGGGGTGGCCCCAGTCTTTGCCAATTGGCCCGCACCAGAAAGCCAGCTCGTTTGCAGATGTGGCACGTGGCTTCGGCAGAAGAGCCCTGAGTGGGGCCGGGCGGTCCAAGTAGGTGCCAAACCTACTCGAAGGAAGAGCAGGATGCCAAGGCCACCAGCATTGGAGCCCCGAGGGGGCGATGGAGGGGCGGCCCCTAGACCGACCTACTGTCGCCAGACCCAGACCCAGCAAGCGCCCGGAGGGGTTCCTCACCCCACTTTCAGCCTGGGTCGGTCGCTGCCCCCTCGTGTCTTCCGGACCCTGGCTCAGTCCTGGCCGAAGCCACAGAAATGTGGTCACCACCAGGCGTCCGATCCCCATTCTGTGTGGAGGAGACAAAGAGAAGCCTTCCAGCCCTGGAGGCGGTTCCGTTCTCTCGCTCTGCCTCCAAGCCCCGCTCCAGCTGGGCCACCCCTGAGTTTGCACATGTCGGTCCCCCCCCCCCCCCCCCCCCCCGCCACCCCCAGCTCCCAGGGGTCCCTGGTCGCAGCCCACCAGCGCTGCAGCAGGGTGGGGCAGACACCAGGGCAGAGGCAGAGACGGGATTCTGAACTGTGGAGACACTGCAGCACGCAGACTCCTAGCCGGAGTTGACCTAATGGGAACCGAACCAAAGGCTGGGGTCACATCCCTGACTGTGGGAACTGACTGGGACCTGGGTAGGCGGGACAGCGCCGGCAGAGCCAGGCCGGGCCTACCTGCCCCAGGCCCCGCCCACCTGGCCCCTCCTTCCCCTCCGTTTCTCTGGGCCTCCTCTCCCTACGACCCTGGAACACCTTGGAACGGGGAGTGTGGTGATGGGGCACCTTCATTTATTTGCCCTGATCCGGCCTGGCAGAAATCAGGATAGACTGCGGGCCGTTTGGCCTCGGGGGCAGCTTGAGCCAGAACTGGGGTTAGGGCTCCTGGGGGGCCGCCTGGGACACTGCATCTTTTGTGCCTGCCCCTGCGGCGGCCCCCCACCCCCACGCAGCTCTGAGGCCCTTTGTCTCTTCTTAGTCACCCGCTTTGTCCTCTCCGAGTGGGGGCCGAGGGGGCAGTAGGAGTCCTCTGGTGATAGCGCCTCCTGCCCCTGCCCCTGCCGGTCTCCCAGCCTTTGTGTGACTCCTGCAGCCCCAACCCCCTCCACTGAGGCCCCGGGTCAGGGCCTGGGTGGGTCAAGGGTGGGTCAAGGGTGGGTCTGGTAGTCGCAGGATAGGGGTGACGCAGGAAGCAGTGGGCAGCAGGGCAGGTACCGGGGACCTGAGCGGGAAGGGAGGGGAAGGAAGCGTTCTGGCGGATGGGATGTGGGGCCAGGAGGTGCCGAGGAGGAGAGGGACGGTGCGAACTGGGGCAGGTGGTCGTCTCTGGGAACGGAAAGGAGCCGCCGACTGCGCCCTCCTTCCTGGGGAAATCCTGGGGAAAGGAGCGGCCACGCAGGGGCGGGCGGACATGGCCAGCCTTCGGAACCCCGGGCCCCTCCTGAGACCCGAGGCGGCGGCCTCTCCAGTCCAGAGCCCAGGGCGTCCCGCGCTTCCTCCACTGAAGCTGCCGCTTCCTCCCGGAAGCCCTCTCCCCGCCGCAGGCACGCGCGCCCATTTCTGGTGCCAGCCTAGTTTCCCTCCGTGCACAAGGCTGCCTCCAGCCTCTCCCTGTCCCACTGGCGTGAGAAATGAAAGATGACTGAGTATTCCAGGAAAATTGGGTTTTCAGGGCAAAGCGGGGCCAGAAGAGGGAGCCAGGTGGGGATTCCCTCAGCTGACGGCTGGGGGGGCCTCTGGGCTCCTGAGGGGCTGGCTGGCTGGAGCTGGGGGGGGCAGGGAGGGCTGCTGGGGGGGTAGAAGGAGTGGGGCCAAAAGACAGGGGCGGGGGGAGCTACCAGGAGCCGGGCCAGGGAACGGGGAGCAGGAAGTGGGGAGGGGAGCCTGGGGGGAAAGGCTGTTCCAGGCCTTGGAGGGGCCGGGAAGCGGTAACTCAGGACCGGGGAGCCCGAGGGAGGTGGGGGCAGTAGAGAAGAGGAGGTGGCACCCTGGGTCCCCCTGCTAGCGAAGGAGGAAGGGTGGTAACCCTCCTGCCTTTCCCTCAGCTTTGGGCAGTAAATTTCTTTTTTTTTCTTTTTAAGATTTTATTTATTTACTTTTAGAGAGGGGAAGGGAGGGAGAAAAAGAGGGAGAGAAACATCCATGTGTGGTTGCCTCTAACGTGCCCCCTACTGGGGACCTGGCCTGCAACCGAGGCACATGCGCAGAGTGGGAATCGAACCGGTGAGCTTTTGGTTCACAGACAGGTGCTCAATCTGCGGAGCCCCAGCAGCCAGGCCTGGGCAGTACATGTCTTGATCACTCTGTTCTCCCTGGCCCCATCCCCTTGCCTCCTGTCCTGGCAGTGTCCAGCCACCTCCTTCCTTTGCTCCCCTCTTGATGCTTCCTCACCTGTTCCCTCCTCTCCCTCTTTCAGGGCAGGCTCCCTGCCCTGGAAACGCACCTCCAGGGGCAGAGGGCAGCCTGCGAGAACACCGAGCAAAGGGAGGCCAGGCCAGCGGAGTCACTGCCCAGAGCTCTCCTGTGACCTTGGTCCTCTCTGTGCGTGCTAGCCAGGCTGGCCCAGACTTCCCATAGGCTCTGTCCACCAAACAGGGAAAGAGCCGGCTGAGCGGGTCAGTTTTGGGAAAAGGGGACGTCATCAGCTGGCTGGGCGCCCGTGGCCCATCCTCCATCTGCTCTGTCGGGCTGCCCGGGGTCCCCCCTCCCCTGGGCAAGTCCCATTTTTTTTTAAAGGAAAACAAAAACTATGATTTTTCGGAAGAATGAGACATCCATCTGAGTCCTACCAAGAGAGCTGAATGGCTTACAGCTCCGCCAATCACAGAGGCTGGGGATGCTTAAAAGAGCTGGCGGGCGAGCCTGGGAACAACCCTCAGGGAGACCCACAGACACAGAGACGCGGAGAGAGGGCAGGAGAGAGACAGAGACAAAGGCCCAGGGGCGCAGCCAGCGTCTGGGGCGCACAGAGAGGGGCCAGAGAAACGGTGGGAGACAGAGGCAGGGGGCGAAGAAGACCCAGGAGAGGAGGACTTGCAGGAGCCCGGCCGCCAGGCACCTCTCCCGAGCCAAGGGGCAAGGTTCCTCCATCTCCCTGAAGGTCCCCAGCCCCTGTGACCCGGGGTCTAGGGCGAGCCCCGGCTACAGAGGGGCGCTTTCCACGAAGCCAGGGCATGAAGGGCGAGGGACTCCGTCCCTCCCAGCTGCGGCACCGTGCCATGTCCCCGACGGACCCGCGTCCCGGGAGGGGCTGGGCGGGCCGCTGGCTGTGTGGAGCCCGATGCTGGCCGCTGCTCCTGCCCCTGTGGCTGCTGCTGACCTCCCCCCTGCCCTCCGCCCGCTCGGCCAGCCCCCTCCCCCGGGAGGAGGAGATTGTGTTTCCAGAGAAGCTCAACGGCAGCGTCCTGCCTGGCACGGGCGTCCCTGCCAGGCTGCGGTACCGCCTGCCAGCCTTCGGGGAGATGCTGCTGCTGGAGCTGGAGCAGGACCCCGGCGTGCAGGTCGAGGGGCTGACCGTGCAGTACCTGGGCCAGGCGCCCGCGCTGCTGGGCGGGGCGGAGCCGGGCACCTACCTCACCGGCACCATCAACGGAGACCCGGAGTCGGTGGCATCTCTGCACTGGGACGGGGGGGCCCTCCTGGGCGTGCTGCAGTATCAGGGCACCGAACTCCACCTCCAGCCCCTGGAAGGAGGCACCCCTAACTCGGCCGGGGGGCCTGGGGCTCACATCCTACGCCGGAAGAGCCCCACCAGCGCGCAGGGCCCCATGTGCAGCGTCAAGGCTCCTCCGGGGAACCCCAGGCCCGCCCCCCGAAGAGCCAAGGTAGGCGCCTGGAGCCCGTCCTGCGGTTGCCTCCCGCCGAGCCTGCCCCACTGACCTCTGTGTCCCCTCTCTCCACCCACTTCCACGTCTGGTCACTCTGCCTCTCCCCTCGGTCGGCCTCCTTCTTCTCTTCCGGGGAGCCTCCCTCGGGGAGAGGCTGCCTTCGCCCCGCCCCGGCCGCCCTGCTGGCCGGGCCCTGACCCCCAGCAGGGTTCCCCGAGGCCGGTGGGAGCCGGAGGCTCTGTGCTGGGAGGCACCCGCCCCGCCCGGCCCGGCCCCTCCTGGCATCCTGCCTGCCGCCACCCCGGGGGGAGGCTCTCCTCACGGTCCCTTGGCCTTGATTCTTTTCTGGGCCCCAAGTTTGATTTTCAGCCCCCATCCCCCCACACACACCAGCTCCAAGAGTGAGATTTGCAGCCCAAGGGACTGGCTTCTGGTGCTGCTTTCCAAAGTGTCCTGGCAAACTGCCCGCTCGGGCAGGAGTGGCCGGGAGGAAGGGCATCCCGCGCCCCGTCCACACGGCCGGGCTGCCTGCGGCCCGTCCTTGCTTCCCTCCCGCTCCAGGCCCCCCCCTCGAGCTTTAATCCACTCCAGACGCTCCCCCCACACCCGCCACGCTGCGATCTGGCCCCGGCCCGAGCTGCTGACTGGATTGTTCCTGCAACCACATGGGCAGACACGTCAGCCCAGCCCTCCAGCCGCAGTCGGCCTGGGGGGCCTGAAGCCCCTCCCAGAGGCAGGCCCAGCCGCCGTGCACCCCTGGGGCCCTGGCGGCCCTGCCGCCCGCTCCCCGCCCCCCTCCATCTCTGAGCTGACAGCTGACGGCCGGAGCCCTGGGGTTTGGGGGTCCGGTATCCGGGGATCGGGGGGGCGGGGCCGGCGCGGCCGGAGGCGTGGGGGGCGTGGCCCCAGGGGTCGGGGGAGCTATTTCAGGACCCTTCCCTCTTTCTCCCAGCGCTTCGCCTCCCTGAGTAGATTCGTGGAGACCCTGGTGGTGGCGGACGACACGATGGCAGCGTTCCACGGTGCCGGGCTGAAGCGCTACCTGCTCACGGTCATGGCAGCCGCGGCCAAGGCCTTCAGGCACCCGAGCCTCCGCAACCCCGTCAGCCTGGTGGTGACAAGGCTGGTGATCCTGGGGCCCGGCGAGGAGGGGCCCCAGGTGGGGCCCAACGCCGCGCAGACCCTGCACAGCTTCTGCGCCTGGCAGCGCGGCCTCAACAGCCCCGAGGACACGGACCCAGACCACTTTGACACGGCCATTCTGTTCACCCGGCAGGTGCGGCCCCACCCGGCACCCCAGGCCGCGCAGACGCCACAGGAGGCCGCGCTGCCCGGACAGGGATGGAAAGCGCGCCCTGCAGTTGTGCGAGGCGCCCGAGCCCCACCGCGGGGGCCTGGTGTCTGGGCTTCTCACTCATCCCCTGTGACCACGTTCCCCCGCAGGACCTGTGTGGGGTCTCCACCTGTGACACGCTGGGCATGGCCGACGTGGGCACCGTGTGCGACCCGGCTCGGAGCTGCGCGGTCGTCGAGGACGACGGGCTCCAGTCGGCCTTCACTGCGGCCCACGAGCTGGGTAGGGAGCGGGGGCATCGGGATGCGTGGGGGCGGGGCGGGGCAGGGGCAGCGCGGGGACAAGGGGCTCACCAGGGCCCGGGCAGGTGGAGGGCATCTCGGGGGTTTCTTCCCCCTCCGGGCCTGGGCCCGGGCCCTCGTCCCCGGCTCTGGGTGTGGACAGACGCGGAGGTTTCCTGCCGAGTGAGACAGCGGAGGGGGGGGAGGCCTGCCGCCGCGTGGGAGCGTGTGCGCGCGGGAGGACACTGGGAGTCAGGGACGCAATGGGTGGAGTCAGGGCTGGGACCGTTGTCTGCGAGGAAAGCCGGTTAAGGAGGGGCCCTGGTGCATTTTGGGGGGAGGGGAGGCGGCGCTGTGGTGGGGCTCCATACCAAGCAGACCTCAGAGGACCCGGAGGGGTTTGGGGCAGGGTGGGACCATCTGAAGCTGCACCAGGTTCAGGGGCCGCAGCCCCCCGAGGGCACAGGGCGGGGACGCGGGACTCCAGCACAGCCTCTGCCCTCACAGGCCACGTCTTCAACATGCTCCACGACAACTCGAAGCCCTGTGTCGGCGTGAACGGGCCCGGGAGCGCCTCCCGCCACGTCATGGCTCCTGTGATGGCTCACGTGGATCCCGAGGAGCCCTGGTCCCCCTGCAGTGCCCGCTTCATCACGGACTTCCTGGACAATGGCTACGGTAGGCGGTGGGCGGGGGCCGTCCCCTTTCCTGGCAGGACCGTCCCTCCCCCGGCCGCCCTCCCGCGCCATCTTTTCTCCCTCTGCGGCGTGGGGTGGGCTGAGAAAGGCTGCCGTCTTTGTGTGGTTCCCACTTCCTCCCGAATCAACGGCACAGCGGGGGAGGGAGTTTTGGCTCAGGAGAACTAGAGCTGGCCTCCTGAGGCCCTAGCTGTCCAGCACAGGACCAGGCGGCCCTGGAGGCAGCTGCCTTGTCACCGCAGGTTTGGCAGCCCGGCTGGGTGACCCCCCCGCCGCCTCCCCGCCCCCGCAGGCCGTTGGTGAGAAGCAGACTCAGCAGCTCTGGGGCTGGGTAGACTAGGCAGGAGGGGGAGCACGGCGGGTGCTCTCCCGATTGTTCAGACGAGCGTGGATGCGCGACCGTACGTCCCTTTGCCGGTGGGGCTAACCTGCGACAGGCGTGACCCCGGTCGCTGCCTTATGGGCGCTGGGTGAGCAGCTGGCCGACACTCACCACGCCGTGAGTGTCCAGTAAACTGCAGCCGCTCTCGAAAGCTCAGGCCTAGGATGGGGGTCCTGGGATCTGTCGGGCCCCGGGGAGCCCAAGCTCCCGGACGGCTCCCTCGAGGGCCGCCGCGGCCCCCCTGACCCTACACCCCGGTCCCTCCCAGGTCACTGTCTCTTAGACAAGCCAGAGGCGCCCCTCCTCCTGCCTGCGACTTTCCCCGGTAAAGACTATGACGCTGACCGCCAGTGCCAGCTGACCTTCGGGCCTGACTCCCACCACTGCCCGCAGCTGCCGCCGCTCTGCGCCGCCCTCTGGTGCACGGGCCATCTCAACGGCCACGCCATGTGCCAGACCAAGCACTCGCCGTGGGCCGACGGCACCCCGTGCGGGCCCTCACGGGCCTGCATGGGTGGCCGCTGCCTCCACGTGGACCAGCTCCAGGACTTCAAGGTGGGGTCCCCGGCCGGCATGGGGTGCGGGGCCCGGAGCCCAGGAGGCCCCGTCCTCACCGCCTCCCGCTTGGGCTTCACAGGTCCCACAGGCTGGCGGCTGGGGCCCCTGGGGACCGTGGGGCGACTGCTCTCGGAGCTGCGGGGGCGGCGTCCAGTTCTCCTCCCGGGACTGCACGCAGCCGGTCCCCCGGAACGGCGGCAAGTACTGCGAGGGCCGCCGCACCCGCTTCCGCTCCTGCAGCACCCAGGACTGCCCGGCGGGCTCAGGTGAGGGCTGGCGGTGGCCGGAGCCCCGTCCCTGCAGGGGAGGGCGGGGACTTCGCCCTTGCGCACCCTTCCCTGGCAGTCTGTCGGGGTGCGGGTCCCGGGCAGGTGCGGGGCGGTGGGCTGGCGTGAGGGGCAAGGGCCTGACCCTGCACTTGCTCCCTGACAGCGCTGACCTTCCGCGAAGAACAGTGCGCCGCCTACAACCACCGCACCGACCTCTTCAAGGGCTTCCCCGGGCCCATGGACTGGGTCCCTCGCTACGCGGGCGTGGCCCCCAGGGACCAGTGCAAGCTCACCTGCCAGGCCCGGGCGCTGGGGTACTACTACGTGCTGGAGCCGCGGGTGAGGGCCTGGGCTCACGCGCCCCCAGCAGTCCGCGGCTGTCTTTCTTTCTTTTTCTTAATTGATTATTTTATTAATGGATTTGAGAGAGAGGGAGGAAGGGAGAGAGAGGAACATCGATTCCCTCTCTGATTGCCACTGATCTGTGGATTCATGGGTTGATGCTTGTCTGTGCCCTGACCAGGGATCAGACCTGCAGTCTTGGCCTGCGGGGACGATGCTCTCAGCAGCTGAGCGCAGTCCCGCACGGCTGGCTGCCCCGCGGTTGTGCCAGGCCAGCCTGGCGGTCCGCGGGACCTGTCTGTCCATGGGTGCTTGGAAAACAAAGCCCAGCCGCTGGATGAGTGACCCGTCACGCAGTGCTGGCCTGTCCTCCCTCCCTCGGTGTCTCCTCCTCTCTCCCACGCTCTGTGTTGTGAGAATGCAGACGAGTGGCCTTTGGGGCAAGCCTCTGACCCGCTTTGTGCGAGCTCCTGGCGAGGTCACAGGGGCGCCTCAGGCGGCTCCGGACAGCCAGTGCCTCACTGGACAGGCCCCCAGGACCCGGCGCTGCCCCTGGGCGCCCTCGCTGTGACGGGCCCACAGCGCCGAGGCTGTGGGGGAGGGGAACGCCCCTCCGCCCCGCCCCGTCCCCAGCAGCAGCGGCAGCGGACCTGCTCGCTCGGCCGGCAGGCCGGCGAGCTCCCGCGGGCTGGCTGCCCTCTAGCGTCCGCCTGGGGAGGCGCCGGTGGGCTCAGGGCCAGGCGTCGGGACTCAGACGCCCTGCGTTTCCCACCTGGGTCTCTCGCCGCCTGCCAGCTGTGTCACCGTCCGGCAAGTTCTGAGCCCTCTGGGAGCTCAGTGTTCCGGCTCTGGAACCTCAGGCCCGGGTTGTGAGGTTTACGTGCAAGTGTTTATAAAGCACTGACACAGCGCCTGACCCCGGGGAGCGCTCGGCAGGCGGCGGCGGTGACCACTCCCGTTGTCACTCGGAGGGTCTCGCCTTAAGGGGCCTTCGGCGCCCCGACTCGGCCCACAGCACCGCCCCTGCCCCCCCGCCACGGGCTGTGGGGCTTGCTTGGTTCCCAGCCCCTCTGGATGTGGGAGAACCCTTCGCATCCCTCCTCCTCCTCTTCTCCCCAGGTGGTAGACGGGACCCCCTGCTCCCCGGACAGCCCCTCCGTCTGTGTCCAGGGCCGCTGCATCCATGCCGGCTGTGACCGCGTCATCGGCTCCAAGAAGAAGTTCGACAAGTGCATGGTGTGCGGCGGCGATGGCTCCAGCTGCAGCAAGCAGTCCGGCTCCTTCCGCAAGCTCAGGTTCGTGCGCGGTCCGCTTTCTCCTCCTGTCTCTTCTGGGCCCGCGGGATGCGAGGGGATGCAAGGCTGCCTCTCCTCCCGGGGTCTAGTGGCAGCGACAGACGCGCACACAGGCACAGCCGCGTCCCACCTGTCCCGCAGGCTCCCCCCGGACAGTGGGAGCCGGGTGGGCTCCAAGGGGGTCGGGCTGGGAAGGGCGCCTCTCACAGGTCTGGGGAGACAGCCCTCTGCACATGCTCGCTTGCACGCACGTGTGCTCACACATGTTTGGACACACACAAATACACACGAAGCTCACAAGGCGGAGGGGACTTGGGGACGCCGAGCTCACTGGGACCCCTTCCCCACAGGTACGGCTACAATGACGTGGTCACTATCCCGGCGGGGGCCACCCACATCCTGGTGCGGCAGCAGGGCGGCCCTGGCGTCCGCAGCCTCTACCTGGCGCTGAAGCTCCCCGACGGCTCCTATGTCCTCAACGGCGACTACACGCTGACGCCCTCCGCCGCCGACGTGACGCTGCCCGGGGCTGTCCGCCTGCACTACAGCGGGGCCAAGTCGGTCTCCGAGACGCTGTCTGGCCATGGGCCGCTGACCCGGCCCTTGACGTTGCAGGTCCTGGTGGCCGGCGACCCCGGGGATGCACGCGTGCGGTACAGCTTCTTCGTGCCGCGGCCCCCGGCCCCCACGCTGCCGCGCCCCACCCCCCGGGACTGGCTGCTCCGCAAGGCGCAGATCCTGGAGGCCCTGCGGCGGCGCCCCTGGGCCGGCAGGAAATAGCCTCACCGTCCCGGCTGCCCTTTCCGGGCGCCGGGTCCTGGACTCAGCTCGGAGAACGGGGCTTCACAGGGCCCCACGGTGGACACAGTGTGGGGGAGGGGCAGCCAGCCCCTGGCAAGGACGCGCAGGCCGGCCCTGCCCCTGCCCCTGCCCTTGCCCGGTCCTGCCCTGGCGGCCGGACGCCGGACGGGCAGGGCAAGGAGGCAGACCTCATCCCATGGGCCCCTCGGCCCTGCTGGTCACGGGAGGGAGGGAGAGCAGGGCGGCCCTTTGTATTTATTTAGTATTTATTCACTTTTATTTAGCCCCGGGGAAAGGGTCCCGGGGAAACTGACCCCTGCCCCGCCGGCCTCGCCCTGGCCAGGAGTCCAGGGCCCAGGCGATGACCCTATGTGACCTGCGTGTGTCTGCGGGCGAGGGACTCCGCGTGCGCTCGTGTGCCAGGCCGCCCCTCCTGCTTTCTTAACCCAGAGACTCGCCTCTTGGGAAAGGAGACTCGATGGATTGGCAGGTGTTCAGGGACTAAGGGATCAGCGTGTTTTTCCGTGTAAATTCTGCTATTTATGTACCCCTTTCAGAGTCAGATGCAGGCCGCATCCGGCTCCACCACGTTGGTTTCCACAACTGCCCATGACAATATCTCCCTCGGAGATGTGCTGTGGGGATCGAGGTGATGGAAACAAACAACGAACAAAGCGCCCGCAAAAGGCAGGCGACCGCAACCCCTGTCTCTGCCGCTCCGTGGGAGCTGTAGCGCCCTGGAGGGTGGCAGAGAGCCACGCCGGCGGAGCCTGCCGCGACCCCGCCGCGATCCTCCGCTCCGTTCCTCCAGTTGGCGGAGCCCTCAGTCCTGAGGGACCCTCCGAGAACCGACGACTCTGTCCCCGGCTTGGAGGTTCCCAGTCACATGGGACAAAATAAACACTGGGCTCCAAGCACAGCCACAGCAACATGAAGGCGCGAAGATCGCAAAAACAACTTCCTTGGCCACAAACAAGTGCTTAGGGATGAGAGCTACTTGGGGGTCTGAAGGAAGCGTGGTAGAAAGCACTCTGGAACTGGAGCCAGGGGTCTGACTTCGAGTTGCGGTTCATCTTATTCGCTGGTGGAGTTGATGCTGAGCCTGGGGTTGCTCATGTGCTTAATGGGGCTAATAGTACCAGTTCCCAGAGGGAGTTCCTGGAAACAAATGTTACGGTGTTATTTTTTTTTTATTTTTAAAGATTTTATTTATTTTTAGAGAGCAGGGAAGGGAAAGAGAAAGAGAGGGAGATAAACATCAATGTGTGGCTGCCTCTCACGCACCCCGCCACTGGGGACCTGGCCGGCAGCCCAGGCCTGTGCCCGGACTGAGAACCGAACCGGTGACCCTTTGGTCCACAGGCTGGCGCTTAACCCACTGAGCCCCACCAGCCAGGGTGCAGTATTTTCAAGAGTGAAGACTGTATCCATGTGAGAGGTTATCTTTGTGACTCCTGAGTGACAGGGTCCCCAGAATCCACCGGTGTAAGCCCTGCCTGTGAAGATAAGAAGTTAGAAGGGGATTTAGTAAGACCAGGCTGTGGCTTGGTGTGGGACCAGGGGGGTGAACAGAAAGGCCCGAAGGAGGAGCCGAGGGGCGGGGAGCCGGGCGGCCAGTGGGGCAGGACCTGCGGGGGCAGCAGGCTGCCAGACCAGTTTCTACCGGGCAGGCGCTGCATGTAGAGCTTGAACCCCGGCGGGCGGCTCTGCTGGCTGGAGCATCGTCCTGTGCACCAAAAGGGTGCAGCTTTGATCCCCAGATGAATGTTTCTCGCCATCTCTCCCCCCCTTTCTCTCTCTCAAATTAATAAACATCTCCTCGGGTGAGGAATTTTTTTTAAAAGAAAAGAGCGAGCCTGAGCCGTCCTGTGCGTGACAATGGGGGGGGGGGGCCGGCTGGGGAAGACGGGCAGGTGAACCTGCAAGAGTCTGGAGTCTTGAGTGGCAGTGGCTGGGCTTCTGGGGATGTGGGGAGGGGCCGACGTGAAGGTGAGGGAGGAGGCCCGGAGGCGGGGGTGACAGAGCCGAGGTCGGGCTCCAGGGGCGCCCCACTGGGCCAGGCAGCTCGGTGGGTGGAGCTGGGCTGGGGCCGGGCCTACGCAGCGCCCTGGGCTTCCTGCCTCCTGCGCGTCCCCCAGGTCCAGCAGCTATGGGGACGGACCACCCCGCTCTTCCTTCGTGGGCTCGGCCGCCTGCCGCGCTGGGCCCTGGCCTTTCCTTCCGTGGGCCAAGGCCAGGGTGACCTCAGCCGTTTCGTCGTCTAGTTCGCAAAGTCAGGCCCCCGGTAACGGGAGCAGGAGGAGAGCAGGAAACAGAAAAACGGAGGCACCGGGGCGGTCAAGGACCTACGTGGTTTTAGCGGGGAAGGGCAGGAAGGGGAAGAGCTGGGGAAGGACAGGCCGGTGACGGCGACGGCCGAGGCGCTGGGCGCCCCGGCCCAGGAGGGGGCTAGCGCGGCGCTCGCTGACCGTCCTTCGGGAAGGCAAGTGTCGGCCGCGCGCCTGAGCTGGAGGCCGCTACCGAGCAGGGGCGCCGGCTTCCTCGGGCCCTTCCTGCGCCGGCGATCTCTGCTTCTGCGGTTGCGGCGTGGAGCCTCGGCCTGTGTCCCTCCACGACCCCCGCGGTGGGGCGGGGAGCCTGGTTCCCGGGGTGCCGTGGTCGGGGGGCGCGCCTCTACACGCCCACGCCGCCTTGGCCCCATTTCTTAATCTCCATATAGTTTACAGAATGTTTTCTCAAACACTAGGTTGACAGTAAGTGACAAAACCAGGAGTATCTCATTGGCCAGGGCTCGTGGTTTTAAGAACATGGAATTCGACGTATTAACACCGCATTGGTTAAGAGGACGCTGCCGAGCCAATCGCACGCGTTTCCCACTGGCTGTTGCTGGGGGGAAGCCGAAGACGCGGGCGCAGCCGGACCAGCCGGCTGACAGCTGCGCGAAACCGCCGGCCCGAACCGCTCGGGCGAGTGGGGGAGGGGAGGCAGGCCCAAGAATGGAACAGCTTCCCTAGACGAGGCCTTACTGGGGGTCGGCCCGGTGGACCTCAGCGGCCTTAGGGAGGGCAGGGAGGGCGGGAGCAGGTTTAAGAGGTCCCGCACAGCCCTGGGATGCCGAATACCACCAGCGCACGTCGTCCAACGAGGTAGGGAATCACAGCGCGTTCTCTCGGTGATGTCGATGCAAGTCCGAACTGAGGAGCTGAAAATACGAGGATTTTCGCCTGGGAACCAGTCTGAGGAACATGTATTGGCCTAACTTTTAAATGAAAATTGAGTGTTTATGTCATTCATTGGTCCAACAGCAAACCGTTGGGTTACGGGCTGTCGCAGCATCTGGAAGGGATGCAGATTTTTGCAGACAGACTGAACCCAAGCTTTGATGTGATCTTAAATCGCTCCGTCTCTGCGACCTTCGGTGCCCTTACCTGTGAAACGGGCGTCCCGTTGCCTTCCTTCTGGGGGGGCCGGAACCGAAGACGATCAGGGCGCGCCCTGTCGGCCCTGTGTCTGGCTTGCCAGTGCCCCCCACGTGCTGACGCTCTTCCCGGCAAGTCTCCTTCGGCGTGTCCCCTCCCACTCCTGCATTGCATGAGGGAATAAGTGTGCCGGGGACTGTTGAGGTCAGATCGAAGGGGCTGTTTTGCAAAATATGCCCAAAAGTCTGGCTTCTGTTCAGGGGATGAGAGAGGACACGGTCCCTGCTCTCAGGGTTCACAGTCTGGAAGCTGAGGCAGGCAAGACAGACATTCCAGGTTTTTGGTGGGTGCCTTGTGACAGCCCAGGCGTGCCCCAGGGGAGGGGCCTCCCCCCTCCCGGCCCGGATGAGCTGCGAGCCTCAGGGTTCTTGGGGTGGGGGGTGGCTGGGGGGAGACAGCATTTCTGCTGGCTCAGCTCCTGGGCTCCTGTCTGTTGTGCCAAACCACACTGACCAGAGAGCGGGGCTGGGCTGGAAGCCGCAGGTGGCACTGTAAGGCGCTGGGCAGGGCCGGAAGGGATGGTCTGGGGACAAGCCTCCTCGAGGCAGGAACTGTTGAACGGGAGAGAAAGACTTTTAAAGCTACTGAAATGTGCCCTGCTTCACTCCCCCTCTGCTCGCCTCTGACGTTTCCTTGAGAAACTAAACAGAGACTTAAATTACTTTAAATTAGTGATTTGGCTGTTTTCCCCAAGGCCAGGTTTCTTTTGCAGTGGCTGTCAGGACTGGGCCCCGGGGGGCCCGGCGTTTATTCAGAATCTAGAAAGGCAGGAAGCTGTGATGACAACCAGAGGGTTAGGATTTAAGCTGCCAGAAACGTGGCAGTTCCGGTGATGATGGAGCCGGGGGGTGTGGCCGGGTGGAGTGGAGAAGCAAGGTCCCCAAATGCGGTGCAGGCTGTTGTCGCGAGGCCACAGGCAGAGGGCGGGGGTCAAAGGTGAAAGTTGACTTGCAGGAACGGAGCACCACGGAGAACCACGCTCCTCTCCCTCTCCCTGCAGGGGGTGGGAGGTAGCGCTCCCTAAAGCCAGGGCGCCCACTCACCTCCAACTTTGCACTGAAAATTCAACTGCATTGAATACCAGCCCTTTTCCATAGTTCTCTCTAGTTGTTACAAACCCCTTAGATGAGGTTTATCTGTAAAATGATGAGTATATTGCTCAACATCACACAGCCCGTGGGCTTCAAAGCTGGGATTGCAGACAAGTCCAGGATTTTCTCATGTGGAGCCTCCACAGGTGCCTCAAATTCATTGCGTCTGAAGTTCAACTTGTCATCTCCACTGTTTCCCCGCAATGTGCCTCTTCTAAGTTTTATTTTTCATCCAGTAGTGCCACCATCCATCCTGTGATCCACGTCATCTTCCCTTGGCAGAGTGGCTCAGATGGTCGGCGCACCATCCCATACGGGAACGGCTGAGGGTTTGGTTCCCGATGGGACACCTGCCCAGGTTAGGAGGGGCGCGTATGGAAGGCAGGCAATCGATGTTTCTCTCTCCCCCGTCTTCTCTCTCTAAAAGTCAATAAACGCATCCCTGGGCGAGGATTTAAAAAAAGGAAAAGAAATCCGAGTCATCTTGAAGTCCTCTAGCTCCCTGACTTGACACAGCTGGTCCATCATCCGCTAAAAGTTCTTAAAGGTATCCTATGCCAAACAACCTCAAAAAGAGTCAGGAGACTTTGGCTAGAAATAAATTATAAAGATTTATTTAAGGGTATTAAGGCTTGCAAAAGAGAAACACAACTAGGCAATACCCAGAGGGTCCCAAAGAAGAAAGAAAAGTTCAGAGTTCTCTTTCCTGTCCTCTTTCTCTAAAATCAATCAAGAAAAAAAAGTAAATAAATAAATAAAGAGAGGGCTCATACAAGTGGGACACCCAAGCCTGTCTAAAGTTGGGTCAAGATTTTGTCAGTACACATATAAAAAATGAACATGTGTTAAAGATTTTATTTAACTCATGAAGGAATAGGCAGATATTACAATGGGTTCAAAAGGAAATCTAAAAAACACACACAGATCAGAAATACAGAAATGAATGTGAAAATGAGGGCAAACCCTTTTCTTTTCTGCGATGTGGGGAGCACAGGGTCATCTGAGCCTCTATCAGATCGGGCGGAATTTGCGTCTTGTTGAGCTACCTGCGCGGAACCGTAAAACAGCGCCATGGAAACAGCCTTACAAAGCAGACGGATGTGCTGTGGACACGTTCTCAGGCTCCCCACCAGCGACCTCTTCTCCTGGGAAGCCTTCCTGCCACCTCCGCCGCGAATGCGCTGCCGTTCTCCGACGGTGAACTCGCCTAGGCCAGTGTCCTCAGTGTGGACATCTGCTCCCGAGAAACAATACGCTAAGGGGACCGTGGAGGCCACCAAACACGCTGCCCGTTCACGGAACGCCCACTGTCATGCCTGGGAAACATTTTTACATTAAAGCACGCACAGCGCTGCGTCCACACTCAGTTTCCTTCTTTACTAACAACGGTGTCTCTCCGGAGGCCTGCGGGCCACCGCGGGGGTACAGACGGGCGCCAGAGCGCTCAGCAACCTTGCGCCCCGCGCAAGGATCAGCGCTGCCGCTAAGTGGCACCAGGTTGCAGGGGCGTCCCCGACACGCCGGCCTCCCGCTCAGTCTCTGCCGGAGCAAGGACAGCCCCGTCGGGCCGCCGTTTTCCGAGCCCCAGGGGCTGGGGAAACGGCCCCGGCTCAGCGACCGGACGCTGCGTCCCACCTCCCCTCGGCCCCGCCCCGTGACGCGCGGCCCCGCCCCCCGCACCGCCTCCAAGATGGCGGCGGCGAAGCCTGCCCGGCTGTCAGGCTGGCGGTGACGACGGGGAGCCGCGGGCCAGGTAAGAGGTCGGGGGACGGCCGCGGCGGGGCCGGGCCCAGGTGCGGGCGGTCGGGAGGAGGAGACGTTTGGGGCGGAGGCGGCGGGCGCCGGAGCGGAGCGGGTTCCGGTGGAGCAGGCACCGAGGCCGGCGCGGCTCGCCGGCCAGGCAGGGCGACCGCAGGAGGAGGTCGGGGTGGGACGGGGTGGCCGGAAAGCGCGCGGTGGCGACGCCCGGCGCGGCGCTGACCGCACCCCCCCAGGTAAGCTGGCCCAGGTTCCCCGACAGGTGCCGCGCGCGCTCCCTCCGCTGCTCCCCACCCGCTGGGACGGCGGCGGCGGCCAAGGGACGCTTCCCGCGCCCGTGCGCCGCGGCGCCCCGGGGCCAGGCTGCCTGTACCTGCCGAACCGGCTGCAGGCGCGCGAAGAGCGGGAAGGAGCCCGTTGCCCGCTCCGCCCGGGTCTTCTCGCGACCGCGCCACAGGCCCGCCTGCCCCCCCCCCCCCCGCAGAAACACTGTCTCCTTTAGTGGCCTTGTCCCCACTCCCCAAACAGGTTGGTCGGGATGGGGGATGGGTAAGTATGGAGTGAACGTGACGCTCCAGGGTCGCCCGTGGAGGAGGCCCGGCACCTGGCGCGTCCTGCTCGTCCCCTTTTCTTTTCCAGCCTCTTTCCCTCACTTCCCCTGCTGGGAAGCGGGCCTCCCCGGCCCCAGGTTCGCCCCGAAGCGCCTGGGCCGTCATCCTTGCCCACTTCTGTTCCAGCCGGTCCCCGGAGCGCGGCGCGAGTGCTGGATGGAGGCTTCCTCCGTCCTCTGTGACATTTCCAATTTTAGATAATGCCTCACATCGCTGCTCCCCCGGGACCCCCGAGAGCCCCCATGGTCTGGAGGACTGCTTGAACCAGGGTGAGTCTTTCTCTCCCTTTACGTGGGAAGGGTGGTTCTCCAGAGACTCCTCTGAAATGCATGCGGGGTTCCTCTGACTTGGGGGCGGGGACTGCGAGTCGCCGTCAGGAGCCGGTCCCGGAGGGTGGAGAGTCGAGCCGGATGGAAGTGACAGGTGGCAAGGCTTGCGGTTACGGTTGCCGCGGGCCCCTTGGCCTTGCCGGAGTGCACGGCTGCACGCTCCCTTCTGCGGCTGTCTCTGCCTGCTTCTGCTCTTCACCTCCCCCCCGGCCCCACCTTCACGCCTGCACAACGCTCTTGGCTGGCCTGCGCCCCTCCTGCCTGTCCCCAGAGCTCTTCTCTCTCCTTCCCCAGACCGCACAGCCCAGGATGCTGCGGAGGCTGCTGGAGCGGCCGTGCACGCTGGCCCTGCTTGTGGGCTCCCAGCTGGCCGTCATGATGTACCTGTCCCTGGGGGGCTTTCGGAGCCTCAGTGCCCTCTTCGGCCGAGAGCAGGGACCCACGTTTGACTATTCCCACCCCCGTGATGTCTACAGCAACCTCAGTCACCTGAGTGGGGCCCCTGCTGTTGTGCCGGGTGGCCCTCTAGTTCCTCAGGGTCTGCCCTACTGTCCCGAAAGATCTCCTCTCTTAGGTGAGTGGGGGGGGGGGCGGGGCGCAGGTGAAGGGAAGGCCAAGAGTGTGGCTGGGGCTGGAGAGGGACTTCGAACTGGAGGCTGACGCAGTGGGAAGGTGGGCTGGTGCTGAGACGGGGGGACCGGGCATTGGGAGCGTGGGCTCTGCCCTGGGGCGTACACACGGGGCGCCCTTGCCTGCCCGGTCGCAGGCGCCTTCCTGCCTCAGCCTAGGAACTGCTTCCTTTGTGGATGGGCCTGGATTCAGTTCCTTAGGGGGAAGCCCTTCTGTTCCCCCCAGCCCTTCGCTGCAGCTTCCAGCCCTGTGAGGCAGGAGAGTCGGGGAACCCGAAGGGAAGAGGGCGGCTGGGGGAGGGGCCGCACCTTCCCGGCTCTGCAAAGCCGTCCTTGTGATGGGGACTCAAGGCCTGTGAGGTTTCCCGGGGAGCCGTCAGGGGTCACAGAGCCCCCGCCGGGATGGCCAGGGCCAGAGGTGGTCCGCTCCCTGGCGGTCCTCCTCTGTTCCTTGACCCTCTGACCCCCGACCTGCCATTCCCTCCGACAGTGGGTCCTGTGTCCGTGTCCTTCAGCCCGGTGCCGTCTCTGGCAGAGATTGTGGAGAGGAACCCCCGGGTGGAAGCGGGCGGCCGGTACCGCCCCGCAGAGTGCGAGCCTCGCTCGCGGACAGCCGTCATCGTGCCGCACCGGGCCCGGGAGCACCACCTGCGCCTGCTGCTCTACCACCTGCACCCCTTCCTGCAGCGCCAGCAGCTGGCCTACGGCATCTACGTCATCCACCAGGTACGCCAGCCCCTGCGCCCCGTGCTCCGGCCGTCCTGTAAGGGAGCCTCAAGCGACTGCCGCTCCACGCTCGGATCCGGCCCCTCGTGTAGTGTGAGGGGGTCGGACTGTTGCACGTGGGCGGACCCCCGGCTCTGCTGTGCCGCCCGGCCAGCCCCGCACTTCTCCTTCGATGCGGGGTATTCCCTCTGGCCTGCACTTGTCCGGGTTCTCCTGTGTCGAATTTGGAATTGCCCAGATTCGGGCTGAAATCGTCGGTCTGCCTTTGCTCTCTCTGTGACCTTGCGCAGGACACAGAACCCCCTGAACCGCGGGCAGAGCGAGGCGGAGGCGGGCGCCGCCGTCCCGTGGTTGCGGGCTGTCAGGGCTCAGCGCTGAACAGCAGCCTGCACCAGGCGCACAGCATTGCTCAGAAAAGCTGTGCTGAGTGAAAAAACTGAAGACCGTCCGTCTTTCCCTTCGCTCCCCTCGCCCCCGTCCCACTTCGAGGCCCCTCGTTCCCCTGCTGTGCCTCCGCTCTCCCCGCCCTGCGGCCCCTGAGCGCCCTGGTCCTCCGGTGCCTTTCAGGCTGGGAACGGCACGTTTAACAGGGCAAAGCTGCTGAACGTGGGTGTGCGGGAGGCCCTTCGCGACGAAGAGTGGGACTGCCTGTTCCTGCATGACGTGGACCTGCTGCCGGAGAACGACCACAACCTGTACGTGTGCGACCCCCGGGGACCCCGGCACGTCGCTGTGGCCATGAACAAGTTCGGATACAGGTAGAGGCAGGAGGGGACGCGGGGAGGCCGGGGAGCTGCGGCGGGGGAAGGGGGCGGGCCGAGGGCCGGGGGCCGAGGGCGGGGTGCGCCCCGGAAGGCGGTGGAACCCACGGGCGGCTCTCCCCCCAGCCTCCCGTACCCGCAGTACTTCGGAGGGGTCTCGGCGCTCACCCCGGACCAGTACCTGAAGATGAACGGCTTCCCCAACGAGTACTGGGGCTGGGGCGGGGAGGACGACGACATCGCCGCCAGGTCAGGCTGCCCGCGGCCGCCCCCCTCCCCCCCTCCGCCCGCCGCGTCCCTGCCCTCGGCGGCTGCTCCGGCCCCGCCCTGGAGGTCCCCCCTCCGCCGGCAGGGGCCAGGCGCCGTCCTCAGCCCCGGTCCTCGCCGTCCGCCCAGGTCCGGCTGTGCACGCCGCCCCCGCCCCCGCCGGTCCCCCAGATCATAGGCGGGAGCACCGCGGGGTCCCGGGCTGGCGAGGGGCCTGCAGCCCCCCCAGCCCTCCTGCCGGGGCTGCCGCCAGCCTCCTTCCCGTGGGGCCGGGCAGGCGGCGCTCCGCGCGCCCGGAATCCCCCTTTTCAGCCCCTGCCATTGGCACGAGGCCAACTGATTTTTAGCACGTGGAACGTTTTGACCTTCTGCCTCAGCTGACCCAGTGTCACACCTGCGGTGTGAACATCTGGGCTTGGGTTTCCAGATCCATTGCCTCGACGCCCCTCCCCCCCTTGTGTCCCCTGGGACAGCATCTCCTGTCCCGTGGGGGACACACCCAGGCCACCGTCACTGCCGGCCTGTGTGTCCGTCAGGCCTCCGTTTCTGTCCAGGCCTGGGCTCCACCCTCCACGGGGGAGCGGGGGGCGGGGGGCGCAGGGGCTCTTCCGAGAGCGGCGCCCTCCCTTTCCGCGCTGCCTTTCCCAGGCTGCAAGGGCAGCTCCGGGACCCTTTAGGGAACGAGGGTGGGAGGCGCAAACCTCAGCCAACTGCTCACAGGCCCCAGGGTACCTGGCACAAGGCCCTGAGGGTTTGCATACAGCAACTTTTATGTTTCCTTCTTTCCATTTCACTTCCTCTCCCCTCCCAGTTCTTGGCTCTAACTGGAAATCGTTAACTTTTTTTAGCTTAACTGGCGTAGTGGGTTGTTCTGTGTTGGGGCTCCTGCAGTCCCTCCCTGGCTGCCCTTAGCGCCTCCTGCGCACCCGCCGGCAGCTTTCCCAGGCCTGCTCCCCCAAGGCGCCCTCGCTTTCCCCACAGGGTGCGGCTGGCCGGCATGAAGATCTCGCGCCCCCCGACGTCCGTGGGGCACTACAAGATGGTGAAGCACCGGGGAGACAAGGGCAACGAGGAAAACCCCCACAGGTAGGCAGGGAGGCGTGAGTGGATCCTGGGGCTCTGCTCTCCAGGCAGAAAGCTCCTACAGGTCCCCAGGTTCCTGGGCATTCCTTTCTGGGTCTTAGCCTCTAACCTCTAACCCTCAGATTTGACCTCCTGGTCCGTACCCAAAACTCCTGGACACAAGACGGGATGAACTCACTTACATACCGATTGCTGGCTCGAGAGCTGGGCCCTCTCTACACCAACATCACAGCAGACATCGGAACTGACCCTCGGGGTCCCCGGATTCCCTCTGGTCCCCGTTACCCACCTGGCTCCTCCCAGGCCTTCCGCCAGGAGATGCTGCAGCGCCGGCCCCCCGCCAGGCCCGGCCCTCTGCCTACTGCCAACCACACAGCCCCCCGGGGTTCACCCTGACTCTTCCTGTCTACCTTAGTCACAAACGCGAACCCGAGGGGCGTCCTCCCCACCTCCCCGCCCACGGCTGCTGGAGGGACACGGGGGACTGACTCGTGCTGTGCCGGGTGGAAGTCCGGCCCTGCTGGACCAGAGCTGGGCTCCTCTAGGCCTGGGGGCCCTCTTTCTAGGGGTGCCTGCCAGGCCTCACGACTGTGAATCTCTGAGGTCAGGATTTTATGTGACGACTCCTGGGAGTGCCCTGCCCCCGGAGGAGGAGCAGGGCTGGACCCCTAGTCCCTTCCTCTTCCCGGCAGAGGATGGGGATCCAGCTTCTCCAGGGACCTCTGTGAATATTTATTCTATTTATGGTTCCCAGGGTGTGCACTGGTGAAGTGAGCCGCCCCCTGGGTACTTTGCGCCAGTGCTGGAGTAGCTGCCTCTTCTGGACCTGGCTCAGGGGGCTGGGATTTTGATATATTTTCTAATAAAGAAAGTTGTCTCGCATCTGCTCCCGCGCCCAGGCACCCTTTGCCGGTCTCTGTACCCCCCCCACCTCCACCCCCAACATGACCACGACAGAACAGCCAGACCAAGCCAAGCGCCAGCAACTTTATTTTCACGGGCGAGAGACTCCCGGCCGGCAGGGCAGAGGGGGCGGGCGAGGGGATCAGCGGTCAGGGCCCGTGCCCAGGGCCTGGGCTGCTGCCCGGCGCCCACTCTCTATGCAGTCGTTGACGGCAACCCCCTCATAGGAGGCTCCGGCCAGAGTCAGGGGCAGCCTGTGGGCCGCCAGGAAGCGGGCGGCTGACTCTGGAAGGGACAGAGGCATGTCACCGCGGGGCTTTGACCTCATGGTCTCCCCAGCCTGGCGGCTTTCCCAGCTTACCCAGTTTTTTCCAGTGGCCTAGTGTGTACTGCGGGATGCAGTTCTGGGGAGAGGAGAGGAGAGGAGAGGAGGCGTTGGTGCCTAACGCCACAGGCCTTGCGGGACGATGGCCAAGACACCAGTCCGTGCCTTGAACACCTACAGTGCGGAGCTGAGGGGCAACTTATTCCGGCTCACCTTATGCAGATGGACCAAGCAGTGACTCGGTGGCGCGCTCAGTCCTAACTGTGTGGCAGCTGCTTCCTGTGCCTTCTGCTGGAACAGTTCCTGAGATGAGGCACAGCCCCCGGTTCCCAGCGTCTGTAGCCAGGAACCGCCCAGCATCACCTAGGGGACAGCGCGGCGGTGACCCACACTGGGCGCAGACGACCCCGAGGCGCCCCCACCCGGCCCGGCCGCCCCCTCACAGTCACTCGGAGGCCAGGCGGGCTCCCGTCCTGCTCGGGGAAAGCAACCGAGTCGTACACGACTCCCAGGATGCCTGGGTCTTCTGAGGACGGCACCAAATGTCCAAACCCCTGGAAGAGGAGACGGTCAGGGCGGGGAGTTCCAGCTGGGCCCGTGTCTCTCCTCCCGTGTCCCACCTGGACGGGCAGACGGGCTCCTCGGTACTGCAGGTTCACCACAGCCACAGACACCGCGGCGATGGTGCCCAGGACGCGCGCCAGGGGTGCGGCCTCGGCGGGGAGCAGCTTGCTGAGCACTGGGGGAGCCGGCAGAGGCCGCTTAGCAGGCGTTTCGCCACAACCCCCCCGCCCTTCTTGGGACTGGCCTCCCACGGGGTGAACACGCAGGGGCACGGCATGGTCCCGCTGACCCAGAAACCTGCCGCTGCCCGCACCCCAGCTGGGGAAGGGGAGGGCGGCCACCCCATCACCTGAAGCTGGAACGGCACTGATAACGTGGTCAGCCTCCAGGCACCTGTCCCCGAGAGACACCTGAGAGGGTGACAGCATTTGAGACAAACAGAGGTAATGGGGATCCTGCCTCAGCTTCCTGGGCACCCAAGCGGCCCGAGAGCCTGTGTGGGCTGCACAAAAATCACCCCCCGGCCCCGTTACCCCAGGACACGGGCCAGACAGGCCAGCGTGTCCACTCTGAGCTGCTCAGGGGAGCCGGGTGGTTCCTTCCCCGACCTGTCTGCCACTTACAAACAGTACTTCTACCCACACGCTTGGATCAAGCGGGTCTTGGAGGAAGGGCCACAAATAAGGTCTGAGAACCACAAATATGGCTCATGTTGAAATGGGCAGGAGAACAACGAGCAACCCCAGTCCCACCAACCCTGGGCTGGCTAAAACGCTCAGGCAAAGATTTGACCCGAAGGTTCATTACACGCCCGGAGCTCTCCCACCTTCCAGCGTCCGTCCGCCTGGAGGCTGAGCCCACTGACCGGCTGGCCTCTGAGCACAGCGACCCCTCTGCGGGTCAGGTGGGCAGTGAGCGCCTGGGGCAGCATCTCCAGTCCCCCTCGGAGGGACCACTGGCTCCAGCGCTCGGCCCGGGCCTGGCGGACCAGCGCCGAACCCGGCGGCGGCGCGCTCCGTCCTGCAGGGGAACGAGCGGAGAGGAGTCAAAAGAGCTCTCCGCGCCTCCAGCCCCGAGCCCTGCAGTCCTCACCCTCCTGCCCTGAGCCACGCCCGCCTCACCTGCGCCCAGCAGCAGCCCCAGCAGCACGGAGCGGTGGGTTTGCTCAGCTTGGAAAAGGCTGGGAAAGCAGGAGCGCACGCTGAGCTCCCGGCTGCTGCCGGCAAACACTCCGCGGCAGAGGCTGTCCATGGCCAGAGACGCCACCTTTGGGAAGGGAAGGGAATGGGGCTCAGGCTGAGGAGTCAGCTGCCCGGGATTCCGCGTGGGGGGTGGGCGGGCAGAGCGGGGGTGGGGTGGGGTGGGCGGGTGTGGGGTGGGAGGCAGCTCCGCTATCACAGGAGGAGGACGAGGAGGAGGAAGGCAGTCACCCCAGCGGTGGGTCGTGGCGACCCCTGGGCATGAAGAGACAAAGGGGGCGCTCCCGAGGGACACAGAAGGGCCCGGGGGTGGGGGCTCTGCAGCCAGCTGAGGAGGAGCAGCACTGGGGGCCTCGGGGCAGGGTCACCTCAGGTCCAAGGCGGCGCTCAGCAAAACTGTGCACAGTCTCGTCGGGGTCTTTGCCCCGCGGTGCCGTCAACTCCCTCAGCCCAGCCCAAAACAGAGGTTTGGAGAAGGGAGGTGACGGGCGGAGCAGCCCCCTGCACGGAGGAAGGCACCGTGAGAAGGGCGCTCGGACCCCATGCCGGCTCCGGGGCCCACTGCCACTCACTCGGCCCCTTGGCTTGGGGCAGCCGACAGGCGGGGTGACGAGGACAGGGAAGGGCCACGAGGACGCGCAAAGCAGAAGGACGTGCAGCAAGGGGGCGTCACCTGAGGCCAGAAGGCAGAGCGTGCAGGGCACCACCTACATACAGGAACCTGTTTCGGGCAGCTGGATGGTCCCCTCGGACAGGTAACACCTCTGAGTCCAAGCCAAGCTCAGACACCTGCTTGCCACGCGTCCTCGGGAAGAGGAGAAACTAAGGAAAGGGCTGGCCACCAAAATCACTTCCTCCCCCCGCCCTATCATCTCGTGAACCGCCCCCCCCCCCCCGCCCGCGCCCCGTCCGGGCCGTCCACAGCCTCTCACCAGGAGCAGGGTCCGCGCTCCCAGCGCTCCCGCCGGCCGAATCCCCCGAGGCCCAAGTTCGAAGACAGCACCGCCTGGCCCTCGCACGGAGCGGATCCAGCCTCCCAGGCGCTCGCTGCCCTCCACCAGGACTACCTGGGGCAAGACGGGTGGACGCTGCAGCCTGGCCCCCGGGGGGGAAGGGCGCGGAGGGGCGGGGGCAGCGCACTGCCTCCGGCCGCCAGCGGGCCCGGAGAGTGGAGGCGGCTCTCTCCGGCACGCGGCACTCACCCTGGGGGGACGCGGGGCGCGACTCAGGTGGTAACTGGCGGCCAAGCCGCTGATGCCTCCGCCCAGCACGACCACGGTCCGGCCCATTGGGAGCCTGGGGGAGGAGGGCGACGTCGACAGGCTGACCGGGGCGCTCTCTCTGCTGAGCGCCGCCGGCTCCGCGCTCCCGTCCCGGCCACTCGCTGCTTCCCGGGAAACTATGGCAGAGCCCGCCGAGGCGGCGGTGGGAGCGCGAGGCCCCCGCTCGCGGCGCAGGACCCGCCCACAAGACGGACGAGATAAGGTCGGGGAGGCGCCGGGGCAGGCCCACAGGCTTCCCGCTCGCGCCCCGCGGGGAGATAGGGGCCGCACCCGCGCTATCTGCGCCCGCAGCGCGGGGCGCCCCCGGCGTGACCCCCGCGCCGCCGCCCCTGCTCCGCCCCAGCCCCGCGGCCCCTCCGACGCCGTGCACGTCGCGCTCTTCGGAGGCTCTCGCGCGGGCAGCGTTCCCCGCTTGACTGGCGGGCCCCGGATGACGCTCGCCAATGAAAACCCCGAACGGGCCGCGCAGGCGTGGAGACGGCGTGTGAACCTGCGGTGGCCCGGGCGGGGGCGCGCGGCGGAGTCCGGCTGTGCGTCCCCGGGCCGGGCAGCGGAGCTGCGAGTCGGGCGGCACTGCGTGCGCTGCTCCGAGCCCCGCCGGGTGAGAGCCCCGGAGGACGGCCCCGCGCGCCTGCGCTGTGGGCAGTGGCTGGGGACCCGGAGGCTGGCCCGTGGGGACGCGGCTCCGTAAACAGCTCCTGCTGTTAGCGACGGCCCGGGCCTGCGGGAGCCAGGGCCGCTGGGCAACACACCCAGTGTTTGTCAACAGGGTCTTGGGGTGCCCGGGCCTCAAGGGCAGCCCCCCTCGTCGGCACGAGTCTCAGGTTTGCCGCCCCGCCCTCCTCCCGACGCGCCGGGGGAGGACTCCCGTTCGGCCTAACCCCAGGCACAAGTACACACAAGGATATCAGTTTTTCTTAATAAATTTATTCACAAAAAGTGAAATTGTATAGTTGGGGGCTGTACACGGCGGGGGCGGCCTGGGGACCTCTGTACATGGGGCTGAGAGACAACGGGACCTCCAGGTGGAAGGGTACTTTTCAATAAAAAAAATAATGGGAGCTACAACCACCCCCCCCCTTCCCATTAAAAAGACACAAAAATAGACGTCTCTGAGGTAAGCGGGAGCCTGGGGCCGAAAGATCTCGAACGGTTTCACAGGTGCCAGGGTTTGGAGGGCCTCACAGGCCCCGGGGCGGCTCCTGCGTCAGCTGGTAGAAGAGCACGTAGCCCTCACTGGACGCCACCTGGTTCTCACTGACCGGGGAGACGCTGGGAAGGAGCGGGGAGGGCGCGGTCACTGCTGCGCACCGGGAGGGCCTCCCCGCCGGCCCAGGAGGGGCCGGAGCCCGCCCCTCGCCAGGCACTGCCCTCCCGGGCTTCGCGGGAGGGACGGACGGGGCTGTGCTCACCGAGAGTCGTTGTAGACGTGCCAGCCGGTCTGGCACCGGCACAGGGCTGTGTAGTGGCCGTAGTGGACGCTGCCCGAGTGGTTGCAAAGGGCGTACAGCTGATACGTGGGGCTTCCTGCGGGGCCAGAGACCCTCCATTTCCAGGCACCGCTGCTCACCGCCCCCGCGCCCCCCGCCCCGCTCTCCGTGGTGCTCCTAGGACCGTCCCTACCGGGCTCACCGGCTTTGTCACTGGCGAAGTCCCCTAGGCTCAGTCGCTGCAGTGGGAAGTCTACACCTACGGAACTTTTCTTGATGGAGCCTCGGGAGGTGGAAAATCGGTTGAGATCTAAGCCCTGGTTAAGGAGCGTTTGGAGGAGGCCAAGGGCCTCAGAGTGGGGCTGAGGTCTGGCCCCAGGCCGCCCACCCCCGGGGCCGAGTGGAACTGGGAGCAGGTGGGGAAGGGTGGAGTGTTCCTACGGAAAATTCAGTTCCCAGGTGTCCAGCCGCTGCAAACACGGGCAACGAGAAAAAGGGCGGACGGAAGACACAATTTGAAGATTAGGATACGGAGCACGAGGATTCGGGGGAATCTTTGTACTGTCAACTTTTTGGTACTTCGTGTTTTCTGCCGACACCGGTCACACACCTGAATGAATGTCAGGTAAGGTTAGGCTACTGTGCTGCTCCCCTCGATTGCTCTTCCAGCACATGGGCATTCACTACGCTCCCCGGAAGTTCTGCCTCCTCTGTGCCCCCTGAGCCCTCAAGACGAGGACCGACCTGAAACTCCCGCACAAACTCAAGACATTTAAATACTCTTCCCCGTAGCAAGGCATCATGCACCCCCTTTTACCCCTACGAAGCCCCCCAGAACCCCCACCCTTACTGCATCCCATTTGAACCACACGCACTGGGGCATTTTCCGACTCAAGCTCTTCCTCCTTGGTGAAGAGGCTGAAGCAGTCCCGCAGCGACACCTTGCCCCCAGCAAACCCTTTCTGGAGGGAAAGGGGAACGCAGGGTCAGCATGTCCTGGATTCCCTGTTCCGACTCTTCTCAATCAATCCAGGCTTCAGTTCTGCTCCAGAGACCCAAAGGGTTCCCTCCCACACTCCGGGGGTGGGTAGGGTTGGGTCACCAAACCCATGTCCCATCCACCCCTGGAATCCTCTGGAATCCCACCTTGGGGATGGGCAGGGACAGGTCACAAAAAACCTCGAAGGTCGTGGAGCGATACCCACAGGCCTGGCACTTCAGACAACTTTTCAACTGTCCCACAAACAGGTCTAGACAGAAGCAAAGACAAGAGACAGCCGCTGTGGGAGGCGGGGACACCTGCTCGGGTTCGGCCTCTCCCCAACCTTTACCGGCCCTCCCTTCCCCGCCACCACTTCGAACGAGGCCCTCACACCTTTCCCGCATTTCCATCACCCAGCCCCTCCCCACACCCCTTGACAGTATCGATTTCTCTCCCCCAAGCTGCACCCGCCCCCGCCCCCGCCCCCGGCTGCCGACCTTCCCGGGCGCGGTGCCCAGTCCCATACCCACAATCTTGCTGTCCTCTCGCTCCAGGTAACGCTTCCACATTAGGTTGGCCCGGTCATCGTCACTGCACAGAGCAAGGGACACGGGGAGCACGCGTGAGACGGCAGGAACACTGGGCGCCCCGAGAGCACTGAAACGGTCCCCGGAGCCCTGGGCCCCACCCACACCTCCGCTCCCCTACATTTCAAGGAGGAGTCAAAGGAGTAACGCTTCAGAGGGCTTTCTGGGGAGAGCCGAGGTGGGAGGGGGAGACAGGAGTGTGGACAAGGGAAGCACATGCTGTCTTCCCCCACCAGGCTCCAAACCCTGCACGTGCCTTGCTGTGAACTCACTGCCCCCTCGTCCCTCAACACGGCGACACCCCTGCACGGCCCTCTGCCTCCTCCACCCTGCACTGCCCCTCGGCCCGTTCCCTAGGCCATGCGCTTCCCGGACCCCCCGAGCCCCCATCCCGACTGGCTCTGTTCGGTGAAGGGAAGGTGCTGCTGGACAAGGGCCAGGGCGCGCCCTGACCTCAGGTCAGGCTCCTCCAGCAGAGCGCCGCCGCGGCGCGGTGCAGAGGGGGCTGGGCTGCTGGCCAGGATCGGTGGGGCCCGGCGGCCTCGTCGGTTGATCTCAAGGTGCAGCCGCTCCATGAGGAGCTTCAGAAACTCCTGGGCATCTTGCTGGCTACAGCCAAAGAGCATGAGCAGCTGCCCCCGCGCCGGTCCGCAGACACCGCCCCCTGCCCGACACGGTCCCCGCTCCCCGGAGGAAGAACACCTCAGGCTCCGGACAGTGCTGCCAGGGCTCTGCTGCCCCCCGCCCCCCAGACGCGGCCAGAGAGGAACCCACACCCTCCAGCTCTCCCACCTGTATCCAGAGAAAGAAGGAACATATTTCTGGAAGACAGCTCGGAATCGGGTGGGGTTCACAGCTTCACAGGAGTCAGGGTGCCACAGGGCACCAATCACATCTGCAAAGGCTATGGGTGGGGGCGGGCAAGGGAAACAAAGGTTAGTGGCTGGAAGAGGCAAAGGAGAAGAGGCTCAGAGGCAGAACCGCCTCACAAAGTAGGCGCGGGGGGCGGGGAGGAGGCAAAGGACACAAGTGCCCAATGGGCAGCCTGGGGCTGCCAGCGCTGGCAGCTGGGCCTGCAGGGGGTCGGGAGAAGGGGACTTGGGAGGGGGCCCAGGAGTTGTTGCCCCACCTTCAGTGAGCTCTTGGGCTCGGCCCCCTCCAGGCACCTCTTGCCGGAAGTCCCTGCGCAGACAGAAGTCCCGGAGCGGCCGGGTGCTGCTCAGACACTGCAGCACGGCGTTCAGGAAGCACTGGGGAGCGGCAGAGACACCGCCGTCGGCTTCCCAGACCGGCGCCCGGCCGCCTCGGAAGCCACGCGGGGCCGCCTTCCCGCCCGGAGAGTTCCCGCCCGCGCGCCACCCCACGCCCGCAGGCAGGGGGGGTCCTCACCGTGTTGCCCAGGTTTCGGAGGCCAACGTGCCCCGAGCCCAGCAGCAGTGTGTGGTGAGCCTGGAAGGTCAGAGCACCGTCAGCAGCCTCCATGCACCACGCCCGGCACGTGCACCTCTCCACAGTGGCTGCCCCCCGGGTGCCCCCGCTCCCCTCGCTGGGTGCTGGGGTCTCCCTACCTCACTGGCCATGAGCAGTAAGCCCATCACAGCTGAATGTACCACAGACTCTGCCATGGCGGTCCCACCGACTCCCCACTTACTGCGCTGGCCCGCCAGCCGGCGCTGCAGCTCCTGGGGCAGTTCCCCGAGCACCGGCATGGCTGCCCAGCTGCTCCCCGCCCCCACCTTGCTGCCCCCAAGGCCCCCTCCTGCCCCCGTGGCCCCTTCCTGCACACTCTCCTGATGGCTCCCAATGCAGCCAGCCTAGCTCACTTGGCTCTAGAAATGGGCGCCCACACTAGCTCAGGTCTTCTGAGCTTGCCCCTCCTCAGCTCCAGAGGTTAATTAGGCCGAGGCAGTGTCCTAGGAGAGAAGGCGTGGCAAGTGAAAGGGCGGTCCTGGGGGACCCACGGGAGAATTCCAAATGGCTGGGGTAATGTGCTGGGGCCTGCACACCGTGCTGGGGAGTGACAGGCAGCCCCCAAAGGGTACTTAAAAGCAGGGGAGAGGGTGGTCCAAAAGCTGGAATGAGGGGCTAAGAAAGGAACTTGGGAGAAGAAGGAGGGCTATATGATGGCAAGAAAGCTGGAGGAACACGGGTACGGAAGGCCACGCGTGCTGGCAGGCAAGTCCTCACCATCTTGTTATCGGAGTAGAAGGGCTCCGAGGGCCGCGCAGATATCACGTGGAAGGTGCCATGGGGAGCAGGGGGCTCCGTCCGTATGCTGAGCAAGGTGGGAGGCCCAGGAAAGCCCCCAAGGCGGCGGAGAGAGGCGCTACGTCTCAAAGTGGGTGGCTCAGGCCTGAGTGCCAGGCGGCTCAGGGCAGCCCCGAGCTCTCCGGGGCCTCGGTGCCCTCCCAAGGCAATTCCCATCGGACGCAAGTCCCCACTGCTCACAGATTTGGAACGGGCCAGGCTGGTCCTGGAAGCGGGCAGAGCCACCGCTGGGGGTGGAGAGCCAGGCAGGGGAAGGCCGTGATCGGCTCGAAGGGGGCCTCGGGAACGAGGGCCGGAGGTCCGAGCCCGGCCCAGCTCCAGTTTCTTGAGCCGTTCCTCAGGGGGACCTGGCCGGGGAGGCAGAGGCCGTAACATGGGGTTCGGCCCAGGGGCTGGGTTTCGGCGCTCCTTGCTGCGGGCCCGGGAGGCAAACGGTAGTTTGGATCCCACTCGGGGCTGGACATTAACGGGTGGCTCTCGGGCCCGGCCCAGACGGTGCTCAGAGGCCTGGGGCATTGTGGACACCACAGGCTGGACCTGGCAGAAGAGAGGGTCAGCATATGAGCATGGACGGAAGCTAAGCTGCCACACTAGCTTCTACGTGCGTGGAAGGCAGGAACCGCGCCTGTCATACCAGTCATTGTATCCCCAGTACCCAGCATAATGTCCGACACAAAGTAAACACTTAGTGTCCGTGCAGTAAATGGATGAGAGGTAGCAGCCCGGGGCTTTGGCTCGCTGTCCCTCACCACCTTCCTGCAGAAAACAGCTTTTCTGAGAAGCCAATGACAGCCCCTATCTCAGCTGTCGTTATCACCTGAGCGCTCCAGACAAGGGCCCCACGGCTGGGTAGTCAAGTGGGATGCGCCCTCAGGCCCTGGGGCCCTGGGGCCAGTGGGGGTGTGGAGACAAGGACGACAGCCCAGGAGACAGCATCCCACCCGCAACCCTGCCCCTTCGAGCTGCAAAGGAAGCCGAATAAACGGGTGACTTGCGACTCCCTCCCCCACCCCCCTGCGCCCCCGTTGAGCTCCAACGTGGAGTCGGGGCTCAGGGGCCGTGCCAGGAGGGTGGGCGGACACTCCCGGACGCCGATCTCTGCATCTCTCGCACCGCGGCTGGGCTGCGGCGGGTCCGCCCCCCTCGAGGGCAGAAAGGCCGAGGCCGCTGATTGGCTACGGAGCGCGGCGCTTATTCCCCGCGGCCCACGGACGCGGTCCCTCCACCCCGGTCTCCCAGGCCCGACCGGCCCCTGCGCCTCCGCCTTGGTGGAGGGCGTCCTCCCGGGTCCCGGGGCAGTCCCCCCGCCCCCCACCCCCGGCGTAACGCCGCGGCACGTACCTGCTCCCGGTGAGCGGCGGGGGAGCCCGGCCGGGGCCCGGCCCCAGCTCAGGCCCGCCCCCCACTGCCGCCAGGCAGCACCCCCGCGGGCCCGGCTGCAGCTTCAGCCGCAGCTGTCGCCCAGGTCTCTCCCGCCGCCGGGGCCGCCGCCATCTTTGTTGGTCCCGCCCGCCACCGGCCGCCGGCTTCAGCGGCCCTCAGAGCGCCTGCGCAGATGAACTCAGCACCGGGCACCTCCTTCTTCGGCGCTTGCGCGACCCCGCCCCTCGGCTCCGCCGCCAACACCATGGAAACGCGGCCAACCTGAGGACCGCCAGTTCCCAGCCCTGCCCGGAATTGCCTTTACACCGTTGCTGCGAACCGAGCCCCTGGTGTACAGGGTCCCGCCACCTCATTCTGTGGCCTGCAGGCTGTGAGCCTGGCAAATGGAGCGTGGCCTCCAGGCTTGCAGCGCAGATCCTTCCCAGGGAGCTGCAGGGCGCCGGGTCGGCAGTAGCGCCGGGAAGATCTCTGCCGGGTGGGCCACGTCGGCCCTGCAAAACCTTTCCTCGCCTTGCAGGCTAACGCCTGAGGCTCCCCGCGAACGGCAGAGATCGCGGCAGCAGGGAGAGCAGTCAAGCCTTTCCCATGCATCCGCGCCTCATGACCAGAGGGTCCTCCTCCTGCCCTTCCCTCCCACACAGTGCAGTTTGGCACTGTCTTGGCCAGCTCATCCCCACACTGTTAACAGCCACCAGTGAGAAGCACAGGCCGCCAGAGGAAGCAGCGTTTATTGATGAGTTACCTCCAGAAACCAGAAAGACCATGTGCCCACTTTCCGTCACCCCCTGTCCTTCGGGTCCTCCCATCGTTCCACTTGGGGAAGGGATATAGACCAGCACTGGACTTCTGGTTTTCCAAAGCCCCAGGCTTCCCCTTCCCTGTGTAGTGCTAGAAATGCAGCAGCAATACTGTTTTGTTTTGTTTCTCCCTTCCCCCAGTGATGCCTGCTGCGGCTACTTTGTAACGATCGTGGGTGGAGGAGTGTGAGGGAAGCAGTGAGATGAGACAGGAAAACAGGAACACAGCCTCTCCAAGGTCCCTCTGTCCAGCCTCAGTGGTTGATCCTTCAGTTGCATTTCTCTTTATGCTGAATAACGCCCTTCTGAATCAGATCCGGGATCTCCACTGCCAGCCACGGGCCCAGCTGCAACACAAGGGAGACTCTGTGAGGTTCCTGCCACCTGGGCAACGCATCCTGGTCCGTCGGAAGCCCCTTCCGAGAGAGTCTAGACGAACGCGCCCAAGGGAAAACCCTCGTTCCTTGTTTATTCTTGTGCCGCCCAGGGCCTCACCTCCTTCCCCCTCATTTACCAAATACCCCAAACTTACCCCCAGAGCCATGAGGTGAGCGAGTCCAAACTTGGGCACGTTCCTGGCCCACAGAGGTTTAAAGTGGTCAGTCAGACATATTTTGCCACCCCTACGAGAGGGACAAGAGGGGAGAAGGTGTTGACATGCAAGGTTTACCATGAAGGACAGCAGTCTCTTGGGAGCTCAAGATTACCGGTGATCCAACGTGAGAGCAAGGTCAGCTAAGTACGTTGTCCAGGCCTGGCAGAAGGAAGCCTGGGGCCCCTCTAGGCCAGCAGATCCTAAAAATATTTCTGCCTCCCGGACTTCCTCCCCAAGCCCTCCTTTGACCCTTCCCCATCTCCTGTTCAGCCCTACCTGTACATCTTGGCTGTTTTTCCATCCAGTTCAGGAACGGCAATTTCTGGAGCAGTAGTAGGATATGTGATAGGAATCTGGGGGAATTATAAAATCTTAATAAGAGAGTCAGGATAGAAAGGAGCCAATGTAATCAGACACACATTCCTTGGTTGAACTGAAACGTTTGGCAAACTCCCCCAGCGGCATGTGCACCCCAGGATTCCGGCCTCGGACCTCAGTGAGTGTAATCCACGCCTGCTTCAAACCTCAGCTTCTCCCTCCCATTTGAAAAGCTCGCTTTGGTTCTTTCAAGCTGTGTTAGTTTGTTAATTATGCATTCCTTCCCCTCTACTAACCTCTGTATTTCCCACCCCATCATACACACTTACGTCAAACTCGATGTCAAACTCATATTTGAGGAGGTCGTGGATGTACCAGCACTTTCCAAACCACCTATAAAAAAGACCAAATCTGAGTCCAATTTGACTAAGATTCTTCTCATACTGAAGTCCAATTCTTCTCCTACTGAAATGATGTCTCCTTGGCTTATGTGACCAGCCTGGGACTCATGGGATGGGCACTGGGAAACTCTGGAGCTGCGGCAGCGGACGCAGCCAGCACGAGGCAGGGAAGGCCTGGCGATGAGCTTTGAGGCGCTGATATGCTGAAGCCGCGTAAGAGGCCCACCCGACACCCACCCCCCGCCGCCGAGGGTCTGCCTACCGAGTCCCTTCCTTGTTGGACTCCAGTCGGAACCAATCAGTATCTGCGTTCTTGTTGTTCTCCACATACTAAAAGCAGAGAACTAAGTCTTAGAGTGGGAAGTTGGAGCCAAGGGCAGCCCTCCTTCCTCAAAAGAAAAGTATGTGATTAATCTCTCTTAGTATGTTTACCGAACTTTTCTGCCATGAGCAAAACTGAAGACAAAGTTACACTGGTTAGCAGGGAACTTGCCCAGAGCAGAAAGCAGACGCTTGGGTTCCACTCACCTCAACCCCGAAGAGTATAGCCTGGGACCTCTCCTCACTTCTGACAGTGCCAGCCCACAACTCCTCTCATGGGGTGCTCCCTCCTGGGGGGGACCCCATATCATCCTTGTTTTGACTAGCACCCACACACTGATGACTTCCAAATCTTTATCTTTAATCCAGACATTTTCTCGGGGTTTCAGATTCCAGTATCCAACTACATATTGAAAAATCCTATCTGTTTCACAGGTGCCTCACGTTCAGCGTTTCCCTCTGTTGCTTCAAACCTGTTTCCCCAACAGCGTCATCGCAGGCGGGAGAATCAGCGGTCACTTGGTGACCCAGGCCGGACGCCTGGGAATCATTCCCGACCCTCCCTCTTCTCTAACCCAGTCCACCGGCCCTCACAATGTCCTGCTGATTTTACCTTCCGAAAGTTCCTCGAATGCACATCTTCTATTTTCACTACGACTAACTGCAGAATTTAGGTCACCTTTCCTTCTCCCGCATTAATGGCAGTATCGTAATTTATTTCCTACCTTCACGCTTATCCCTGTCAACTCTATTTTCCTCTCTACTGTCGCTGTGATTGAGCGAAGCCCAAATATGATCATGTTGTTCCTTAGTTAAAACCCTTTAAAGGTATCCCGACGCCTCCAAGATGAAATTCGAGCGCTCAAGCCTCTCTCGCGAGCCTTGCCCACCACTCTCTGCCACACTTCGGCTGCTGCAGCAGTTCTGAGCCGGTTCTTTTTCTTCACACACTCATGGCGTTTCTAGAGTCTCGCCTGTGCTCCTTCTGTCCCCTTTTTTTTGCCCTGAATGTCCTCCTCTTACCCTCACGCTGTATCCAGCTAACTTGGGTTCACCCTTCACGTCTCAGCCCAAGCACCCCCTCTTCTAGGAGGCCTCCCCTGAACAGACCCAGCCTGGGTTAGGTGTCTCGCCTCCGGCTCCCCAACACCCGAGCAGTTTCTCAGCCTCCCTCTTGCTTTGGATCCCTTTCCTAGGTACTAGATGTACAATAAAGAAATTATTTATTTGTCTGTTTGTTTATAGGGCATGAATGCACGCGGCATTCATTCACTAAACAGAGACCACTGACCACTCAAACTTTCTCCATACAGAGGAGCTGAGGGCATGTCTAGTTCCTGACGGTGAGCTCAGCTCCGCGATTCTGCAACTTCCACCTTCTTGAGTTTTTAGCCCTAATATGTGTTCCTCCCTCCAAGAGTGAAAGAGGGAGCAGAGAGCCGCGGCCCCAGCCTTAGACCACAGTCAGGAGGGCCAGCACTTGGAGACAGAGGGACACGTCACCTTCCCGGGGGCGTGTCCCTTAAGTAAGTGCTGCTTTCAGCCTTGAAGTCTGGTCCGAATGTCGCTCCCAATGCGAGTCTCTTTTGCCGAATTCGCACCATCCTCACTCCCGAGTCGCCCAATCCCGCATTTCTCCAGTTTCCGTGAATCTGGGAGTTAAAACTTTGAAACCGGAAGTGCCTTCCACACGGACCCTATTCTTAAGCACACATGATTACCCGCATAGCTTTTGTGACGCGGCTGTCCGCATTAGTTCAACTAACCCGGATAAGAGACTGATATTCCTCCTTGAGTCGCTGCACCCACAACTCCCGGTCTCGAGGTCCGGCGTTAGTCTTCAGCACCGGGATCTCAGACACGACACGCCGGGTGGCCTCGTCCGCCATCTTGGACGAGGGCGCAGGAAAAACGCGGAAGTGATTTTACCTGTCGTTTACATGCAGGGCGCCGCCATCTTTACTACGGGAAGATGGGGCGTAGGTCTCCCTTCACACTTCCTTGAGTGCGATTTTTATTTTGTAGTAACGAAAACAAAATGGTCACCTCCTCACGGGTACAACGGGAAGAACTGAATGGAAACGGATTCCTCTTGCTCAACAGGGCACCTAGCTGTAAGGAAGAAAACCCCCCTGCAGACTGCTCAAAGCGTGACTTCCGCTCATGCGCAGAGAAGTAATCGGAGACAACGCTTCCGGACACCTCCCCAATCTTGGGGAGGCGGTAGGATCGCAGGCCGTTCGTTCTAGGCTCTGTTCCTGGCACTGTCTTCCTGAAACGCCCGGTTCACGTGTTTTCGCGTCAGATAGCTTAGCTTCCAAGTAACCAGCCTGAGGGAGCAGGGCCAACTCAAAGTACGCAGTCTCGCCCCAAGAAATGACCACTATCGAATTCGGGAATTATTAGTAAGTGCCAACGAGTTGAGAGGCCACGGGAAGACCTAATGAGTGTAGCCTAGGGATTTTTTAGGCTGGAATTAACCCATCTGGGACTGAATCGCGTCTCTAGTGGATGGCGCACAGTAGGTACCCAGTAGTCCTGCAGAATTTTGTATCTTCCAGTTGGTTTTTAGAACCTAAACGTATGGATTTTGGCTTAAATGTACATATCTTGTTTACTCTGTTCACCGTTCCAGCCTGTGGCAGTAATTTTGGATCAGATTCTGTTAATCATTAAATTCTATAGTCCCTCTACAGATGTGATAAGCGTACTATAAATTAATTGGCAATGGCCGAAACGTCCAGTACAGTGTTGAATAAAGATTGAGAGCAGACATTCTTGTTCTGAATTTAGGGAGAAAAGCAGTGTCTTTCTTCGTTAAGTACGATGGACGGCACAGGCTTTTCCTAGATGCCCCCTACCAGGCTAAGGAAGTCCCTTTTATGCCTAGTGTTGAGGGTATTAAAATCATGAACGAATGTGGGGTTTATACCAAGTGTTCTTCCTGTGTTCAAGGAGATGCTGATGTCGTTTTGGTCCTTTATTAGCGTGTTGTACATTTTCTTTAAAATAGTAGATGATAGTGGATAAGTGGAACCCAAAGCTTTTTCGTCTCTCCCTGGAGATCTCTCTCCAGGGGAAATACAAATGTATTGCCTGTGGGGTGTAGCCACTGTGGGGTGGCACAGAGAGCGGGGTGTGGAACGAGGCTTCGCCTTTGGAGATGGGGAGAGGGACGGGCCGACAGGCAGGGCAAGGGGTGCAACCTGAAAATTGTACGTGGGATCGTATCTGAGGGTCCATTGCAAAACACGGCGACTGTAGTCGACGGGCTGTGTTTCAAAGTTGCGAAGAATTAGATCTTAAGCATTCTCACCATAAAAAAGTTAATTGCATGAGGTGATGGATGTGTTACCTGTTCTGATTGGGCGATCATTCTACAATATGTGTATGTAAAATCATCACATATATATCAGATTATCACTTTTATTTTTATTTTTTAAATTTTATTTATTGGTTGTAGAGAAGGGAGAGAAACAGCAATTTGTTGTTCCACTTTTTCTTAAAAGATTTTATTTATTTATTTGTTTATTTTTAGAGAGGGGAAGGGAGGAAGAGAGGGAAGCATCCCTGGGCGGTTGCCTCTCAAACCGCCCCCTGGTGGGGACCTGGCCCTTAACCCAGGCGTGTGCCCTGGACTGGGAATCAAAGCGGCCACGCTCTGATTTGCGCGCGGGCACTCCATCCACTGAGCCACGCCAGTCAGGGCTGTTGTTCCACTTCTTCATGCGTTTACTGGTTGCTTCGTGTGTGTGCCCTGACGTGAGATCGAACCCAGAACCTTGGTGTATGGGGATGGCACTCTAAATCACCTGAGCTGCCCAGCCACAGTCCCCTCAAACTGTCACTTTAAATATAAATTTAAGTTATATCTGTCAATTCCTCAATACAGTTGGGGGTAAAAGGTCTTTGGAGATTTACTATAACTCTGTGAACTGCATTTTTCTCACAATTTATTCATACCATAATCTGTTCAAGCAGAGCCTTGCGTTCAGCTGTTTGCGGTTACAAACGGTACTGCAGTTAGTCACCTTCTCTGCTCCACAATTTTTACATGTGTAATAAATACTTAATAGGCAACTGTTTCCTAAAAAAAACTAGTACATTTAAAATTTTGTTAAATATTGCCAAATTGCCCTCCATAACGATTAAACCAGTATTAATTACAATTAGTGATATATGAAATGACAAGGTTTCCCTAGCAAAAATCAGAATGTTCACAACAGAATTGTTTATGCTAATTCCATGATTGAAATGGGATCTCAAGACAATTTTAATGTCCATTTCAGTTATTATGAGTTAGGCTTAATATCTTTTCATACATTTAGTATCTATTTGTTTCCTTTTCTGTAAATTCCTGTATCTTTTGTACCCTTTTAATTACCACTTATTTTTTCTCACTGAATTTGCAGGTTTTTTTTTTAGAAAGAGATAAGGCATTTGTAATGAGTTGTAAATATTTCCCCCAGTTTGTCATTTCTTTGACTTTATTAATATTATTTTTAAACCTGTGGAAAGTTTTCATATATGAAGTTCATTGGTCTTTTTTGCTTATAGCTTCTGATGTCACAACAGTCTAAAATATTATCTTTAATTATTCTATGTTATTCTCTAGTACTATTTTTCTTAAAATGAAAATGACTTTGTTTGTTCCAGCCTACTTAATACAGGAAAATAAAATTAATTAAGTTCCTACCCCAAGAGGTAAAAACTGCTCTCATTTTAAGTATATACCCTACCAGACATCTCTACATACACATTTCATTTCTACTACTTTTTATGGATTTACTATTCTACTATTCTAGGGTTTTTCCCCTGCAAATATCTTATTTATTTTCAGAGAGAGGGGAAGGGAGGGAGAAAGAGGAAAAGAAATTCAATTGGTTGCCTCTTGCACACCCCAAATTGGGGACCCGGCCTGCAACCCAGGCATGTGCCCGACTCGGAATCCAACCAGCGATCTTTATGTTCCCAGGCCGGCACTCAATCCACTGAGCCACACCAGCCAGGGCTATTCTAGGTTCTTAAGATGGATGCAAAACTTGTGAATTTTCAGCTTTCTTTTTATCCTACTATGTGCACTAAGACTACACACTTTCAGCGCTCACCCCCCTGGAATATGCCTGGGCCTTTCCCTTCCTCTTTCCTACCAGGCCTGTTCCCTCTGCCTCTCCTAGTCGCCAGGGGCCCTTTCTCTGGCTCTGTAAGTTGTTTCTTGAGCCCACGCAGCTCAGCCAGCTCACTTCTAGTACCTCCATTACTTTCTAAATAAACTTTCTCTTATAATTAAAAAAAAAAGACTGTACATTTTCTCGTAAGTTTTGGTATTTAGTATTTCTATTATCATTCAATTCAAATCATTTTCCAACTCCCAACTGTGGTTTATTTGGGGGGCTTATTTAGAGGTGTATTTTGTAAGTTCTAAATGTAAGGACTTCCTAGTTACTATTTGTTACTGATTTCTTGATTAACTGTAACAAGGGCAAGAAACACACTTTGTATAATTTCAATCCTTTGAAATTTGTTAAAACTTGCTTTATAGTACAATATGGCCAGTTAAAAAAAGTTCCAAGTGTCCTTGAAAGTAATTTCTGCCCTGACTGGTGTGGCTCAGTTGGTTGAGTGCCATCCAGCAAAGCAAAAGGTCACCGGTTCGATTCCCAGTCAGGGCACAGGAACCTTATTGTGGACCATTCCCTGGTTGGGACATGTTCCAGGAGCAACTGATCGATCGATGTTTCTCTCACACATCCTTGCTTCTCCCTTTCTTTCTCCCTCCCTTCCCCTCTTTCTAAAAATAAATGAATCTTAAGATAAAAGAAATCCTTCTTAAATAATTTCTAATTTGCAGTTGTTGAGTACAGTGGAGTATATATGCTTGTTATATCCAATTTGCTGCTTATATCATTTAATTTTTTTATATTCTCACTGATTTTCTTGAGGGAGTCTATGGGTTCTGAAAGAGGTATGCTCTATCTCTGAATGAGACATGTTAAGTATCCTAGTATGATTATGAATGTTTATTTTTTTGTACCTCTGTTCTATGTAAGTTGAAGTTTTCAAGTGCATACAAATTTAGAACTTCGTGGTAAATTGAACTTTTTGACATGAAGTGCTCTTCTTTATTTCTAGTCATGCTTTTTTGCCTTCAAGTCCACTATATGTTGTGATATAACTTTCATTTGGCTTGTTTACATGATACATCTTTTTCTGTCAAGCTCTTTGTACCCTTAAGTTTTAGGTAGCTCCCCGTGTCTTATATTAGTTATAAGTGACTATTAAAATCTGTAAGGAACTGATTTTGGTGATGCGGGGTCCAATATTTTTTCCCATTCAGTTGTCCAAACGTCGTTTATTGCATAATGGATATTTTCCCACTGATATATGGAGAAATCTTTATCATTCAAAATGTCCATATGGACTTGGGTCTGTTACTGAAACTTCTGTCCCTTCAATTCGTCTACTCACAGGGCGTCATCCCACCGTTTCAATTACTGCGGCTTCATAATACGGTGCTTCATGTAAACACATTACGCGATGTATTTATGATACGAGGCATAATACAATGCAGGGCCAGCTTCTATTCATTACTTTGCTTTTTCAGAATTTTCCTTTCAACTCTTCCTGACTTTAACATGTGAACTTAAAATAAGCTTGTTTTGGGAAAAGTACAATAAAAATTAAATTAAAAAATCACTTGGGATGGTGAATTAGAAAAAATAAGCTTGCTTATTTTTAAAAAATTTTGCTGATATTTTAATCTAAATCACATTAAATTTGTAGGCACATTTGGGAAACTGACATCCTTATACATCCTAGGCATTTTACCTGGTTTGTTGCTATTGGGTATTTTCATTTTAAAAAAATATTTTGGGTATTTTCTTTGATTATATCTTTAACTTATCGTTTGTATATGTAAAGGATATTTATTTCTGCATGTTACCCACTCCCCTGTACTAAATTTTATTTGTATTTGTAATAATTTTTAAGTTGATTCTTATGGATTACTTAGATACGTGAGCTATTGTGCAATAATGATAATTACATTGTTATTTTAACTGTGTAAAAACGTGTATAATTAGCTGAATCTTGGAAAACGTGAAGAAACGAGGTAATGTGAGGGGTTACAGTATTTTTTGTTTTTTATA